AAAAAAAAGACTGATGTACGCCGTTGATTCAAATAATGTTACGGTCTTACCGAGGTGTTTTCATGAATTAGTTTTGGTCTAAGACCATCTCCCAACGATCGATAAGCGTCAATAAAATGTTCCTCATTCTATTCATTATTGCGCATTAATAGGGTGACAGAGAAACACGAGTGGGAAATAGACTTGATGAGAATCAACCCGATTTGTTAGCGTGACTAGAAAAACACCCCGTGATGCTTAATATTGTTCAAACACCCAATCAAAAGCTTAGGTATAGAGAGCTGACTTAAACGATTTTCTTCTGCCACACTAAACCGAAATTCTCAGAAAAACTAATTCCCAAAATTTGAATAGTGTTCAATCTGAGATACCGATGAGGCAAAGAGAATCGAATTCACCGTTTCATTGGTTAAAGAGATAAATCTAGTGTCCAGAGGCCGAACTTCCTTACCGTGACTGCTTCCGCCATAGGTATACGCGTACGTTGTTGATCTCAAGCGAAGGTAAGCTCGTATATTACCAACAAGTAACAGTTAACTAAAATACATGTAAATTTTCTGGTCAACATTTAAGCGGAACTCCAAGAACAACGAACGCTTCGTTAAACATATTATGTGTCACTTTATCATGTGCGCCATCTAGCGCTTTCCGTGATGTGAAGTCGACCTTCACAGCGACTTCGGTGCCGTGGCTGTCTCAGAGGGATTTGTGATCTAGCTGTCATTTAAGTTACATTTGCCTCTCAGTTAATGTTATTGGAATAGGAAGTAGTTCCACGAAAAATCGCTGCCTTAGTATAAAAAGGGAGCTATTTTATAGTCAGAACTGATTAAATGTTTGAATGCACCAGTGGTATATCTGTTATTCATTGATTAAATTGACGTTTACCGAGCCTGATCGTATTTACATGTATTTACCTTCTCTATAACGTATCTTGGGGCCAAAGATGAGATGAATTCACTTCCTTATAAACTCATTGATCTTTCAGATGTAAAAAGGCTCCTTTATGTGAATCAACGTGCTCCTTCATACTTAATCAAACATTGGCTTTTAGTTGCAAAGCACCAGCTGTCCGACAATTCTTAATTTATGCCGGCATGACGCTAGGGTAGCGTCATTGTTACTGTATTCTGAGTTGCTAAGACATTCGGAAAAATAACTATCTTTGCAAAACAACTAGTGTGAACAAATGATCGTAATGAGGTATTGAATATCTTGTTCGCCTCCGGCCATAACTGTAACTGTTTTATTTAAAATTGCGTTACATCATAACAGAGATCATCAACGGTTCATTCCATGTCCACTGTTGATAAACACTTTACGATACAATTTATTTATCTCTTTCGCTTTTTGAATTCCCCGAAATATCCTTTGGTTTATTTTCCACAGTTGTCTAAATTGCGTTTCATCCTTGCCACGATTGCTTCTTCGAGCAAATTTCTCTGTCGCAAAACAATTGAAAATATGGCGACTTAACTTACAATGACTTAACTATTGCTGGTTTGAAGATTGAAAGGAAAATGATTTTAAGTAGAACTTTAGACAAGTGGGGTACAGGCAACTTTTTCCTTCTCGGTCCAAGCCTTGTTTAGGATTATTATTTTCTTAATTTGGCGACAGAGAAACGGAATAACGGAACGAGACCTGGCCAGATAAAATCATGTCCTGTTTTCTGTATTTCATCAACACACAACCCCCAATTCCTTTTATTCGCACTGAGGAAGGGCTAACGCTCGAAAAATTACTTAAAAACTGCTAATGGTAGCTTATTTACATTATCAACTCATTTGATAAAAACAAATTATCTTGTACTCTCAAATGCCTTTCTCCGCTAGCAGTTACTGAAAGCTGACGAAATATTGAGGGGGGTGGGGTGGGTTACCCGTCCTTAATCGCATGGATAGAAATACGGGAACTTTATTCTTTGCTCTGTCGATCGTGGCGACTAGGCCGGTTTTATTAAACCTTTTAACTAAAGCTATTTTTTAACAGTGATGGCTGAAGGACGATCAGGAGGTCCCTTTGAAATAGACTACCCAGAAGATGTCCCGTACAGTCCTTGGAACTTCAACATCTACACCATGTTGACGATAGTTAAACAGACCTGTTTTGGACATGTCAAGGCCAACTTACATCATGTGCTGAATCATCTCATGCCAGGAACAACACAAATGCTTCTGGAACACAGTGAATCTCTTGGGCTGGACAACTGCTTCATGGCAGGTCAAAAATTTGATGGGCAACGGGTTGGAAGCATGCCAGAAGATGTGCCTATCGTCCAACCGATAAGACAACCTATAGACTCGGATGATGATGTTATGAGAGATGTTGGTTTTTCTTTTGAATGTGATTATAATCTCTGTTTTAAGGATATCTCCGCCAGCGAAAATCCACCGCAGAGAGTTGATTTGAAGTCCCCAGAGGAGCATGTACAGTTGCAAGTCCTCCCTTCGATGCCTCCTGGTTATGCCCGATTGGCAGTCCCTCCAAATGTGGATTGGGTACCAGGTCTGCAGAGTCTGTGTGTCCAAAATGAAGAAATCACACTCTTATCCTCAGAGCTTCTCATTGAACAGATGTACAACGTGTTAACAATCATCACGGCCATATTAAACGTCCACAGAATGAAGAAACACCACAGCAACGATAAACCATACAACGAAGAAGACTGCATATCCCTTGGGGACTACCTCCAGTACGTGGGACAGGCAGGGCCAGCAGTCCACGTGGTCATGTGCATGGGAGACTTAAGTCCCCAAAAAGGGAGGTGCCTCTTTCTCACAGAGGACGTCAGTTTGTCTGTGCCCTGTAAAGAATGGCCCAGCTGTGCTAAGGAATGGTGCACGAGGGACAGGCCATCACGTTGGCCATCACAGGAACTTATCAAGAAGGTGATACAGGATGGGTGTCACATTGTGCCAAAGTTTGACGCAGCAGTAAAAAGTTCAGTGACCCCAAGTAACAGTGAAATGGCGGAAGCTGCAGAGGGTAGTAATTTCCCCCAGACCCAATGGAGGTACTCATTCTCGCTGGCAGAAAGAACCCTGATGAACTCCATCACAGACGAGCAGAAGATGTGCTACCTTATTTTTAAGTACTTATTCTCCCGATACATTAAGCTGGATTCAGTGATAACCACCTACACTCCAAAAACTCTTTTTCTGTGGGCACTGGAGACCGTGCCTGTCGATCAGTGGACCAAAGCAACGATCGGTGACCGCGTAAAAGACCTCATGGAAGACCTGAGAACCTGCATTAAGAAGAAGCACTGTCCGCATTATTTCATTAGTGGGTCCAACACCCTCCAGCAAATGGACGACAAGAGCCTTAAAGTTACATTAGAGAATGGTTTGTCTATGTTGGATGAAGATATGGCGGAGGCACCAGTTTTGGGCTCAGACACGTTTGAAACGACCTCGGATTTCCCCGTCAACTTCATGTTTACGTACAAATCGTTCTACCCAATCAACGCCTGGTTGGAATCACTGAACGCTCAAATGATGGCGAAACTTGATGCACCGAGTAAAGTTCCCTCTGAACAGATCCTGGCAGATTTCATGGACAGCTCGAAAACTCACCCACTAGCGATGTCAGAGATTTTAAAATATCTTGTTCTATCGGACGAGATTTACAGTCAGCCTCTACCCGTTCCAGAGTTCCTCCTGAACCACGGGAAGGTTACACAGCTGATCAAATTCTTGGAAAAATCCATCACAACACCAGAAAAGTACAAAGAAAGCATGGCAGAACTTAACGTTGAGATAAAGTTTCTACACTTGCAGTTCAGAATAATCGACGAGCTTCAACAGTTTTTCACAGAAAACCCAAATGTTGCCTTCAGCTTTAAGTCAAGCTCCGACGAAGGCGGGTCCGAGGGGGATGAGTAACCTCACGTTAATCATTTCCACTTTGAGATAAACGAGGACGTACCCGCAATTTGTTTTTTTTTCGGGAAACTCTGAATGTTTTTGCCGTATAATGGATAATATACTAACTATCAACTCATAGCGAGTGGTTAAAATGGACCCTCGGGGAAACCTATACACTATAATCGCACTGAAATTATTTCTGGCTGTGGTGGCGCCTTAACCTTCTTCACTGAAGTAAACTGCAAAATTAGATGAATATTAATGATAAGCTGAGATATCTTAATTCATGTTTTATTCCAATTTTTCCCTTGCTAAGAGAATTTGTGAAGGGAAATTTTTACTTCATGATGGAAGCGACAAGGGGAGAGTGTAGCTTGGTTACCAGACGTTTTCTCTTGCATCGTAATCCGCGCAGAGCCTGAGAGATGGGTCTCTTTCGATGAGTACACAGGTCATATTAGGTAGAGGTTTGATGAAAGCGATACCCTACACGAAGCCCGTATCCACTAAGCCTCTCCATCTTAGATAGAAACACCGACGGAAATTAACCACACGGGGGATGTACTGTCTGTAAAATACATAGGGTCCGTAGAATCTGCAAGGTAGGGGTGCGACTTTTAAAAGCTGTGGCAAGGATAAGAAAAACTCTAATGTCACGCATATTAAGGCTAATTTAATAATTCGATTGATTAGTTAACAATTTAGTTAAGAAAAGTATTTAGGAACTGTGCTTATCTACAGACATGTAAAGAAGATCCCTACGCCAGGACATGCGTTAAGCTCTCGCTTTGTGGAAAGGAATGGAAAAGTAGGTGCAAAAAATAAAAATAACTTCAGATGGTGACTGTGTTGTACCCCTGATCATTGTGCGTAGTTTTCTGTATGATTAGTGTCTTTAACACCACATTTTCCAAAAGGGAAACAGCATAACTTAACAGCAACCTTAAATATTAATTGCTTCTTAAAAAATACAATGCAGTAGCTTGAATTTTTATCAGTAGGTATAAAATAACCGAATGGACAATTCGAATATTTGCTTGTTTCAGGTATGAAGTCTTCACTTCACGAACCCCGGGTTTTCGGCTCCAATTTGCTATCATTAAAGGTAATTACTCTAAGGATAAACGCATGTCGCCTTGTTATCTCCAGGGGAGTTGAAGTCCTTGGCCATACAAGAAGGCCTTGGTTATTTCATAAGTTACAAACTGGATTCCAACAAGTGGGGCAACCTATTGAAAGACACAAACGACATAAATAATAATACCAATCATTTTTCTGAAGTATTCACACAATGGTCGATCAGGTGGTCTGGTTGAGAGTAGTCCTGAAATGTTGTCAGTGAGTGACACAGATCGCTGTTTCAACAACCTGGGTGGAAGTCATCATCAGAGTTTAGTGAGGAGTTTGTAAGTGAAATTGATTGGTTGAGATGATTTCAGTTGTAAGACTAAACTGAGCAGCAAACCACTACCAAGAATTCCAAGAGTAATCCTCCCCCTCTCTTACTATTGAGGATTTCATGATGGTGACTTTCAAGTGTTACCTTGAGCAGATTGGGCCACATTCCTTTGTATAAACCTTTTACTCCTTCCACTTGAACAATGGTTGTGAATGCATGTTTAGTAGAGGTGTACGCAAACAGGTCCCCACTGATCCCTTTCATTTGCATTCGTCTTCTCACCACATCTAAAGGATAAGTTACTGAAAACAAACATAATTAAAGTTAAGGAATCAGAAAACTGGTTTAGATGCCTACTTTGAGAAATACCCAACTGACCAGCCTGGGAAAAATACAGGGTTACCTGATTTGAGAAGTACCCTAACTTAAATAAAATTTAGATTCCCAGTCTGTTTTAAACTTCTCTATTCTCAGCCATTATATTCCTTCTTTGCTCATAATTACACAATTTGTTTTTTTATATCTTGCCAAAAAAATACTTTCTGGTCTTTTTCGAGAGTGGAAGGGTTAACTCATTAACTCTGATGATTGACAAAGATAGAATTCCTCCTCACACCATCAAAACAAAAACAAGCAAATAAATCATGAGAATGGAGAAAAATATAATTTAGGGGGATTATTAGTTGATCCAATACCAAATTCTCAAATCTAAAACATCATAAGAATTGTATGGGAGACAGTAAGGAGGATTACTAATGAGACCTTGAGAGTGGAGGGTTGAAGATGCATTATTGTGTACATGTACAGTATGTCTTTGATTAACTGACAAAAATGGCATGACTCTAGTTAAAGTAATTACAAAGCATGTTTCATCAGCTTGAGAACAAAATTCTACATTGAATTAAGGTTAGTTACAGTGATACTCACCAGTTTGAGAAATACCTCCTGCTAGTCCACCACAAATGAGACGAACCACAACAGGTAATTCCCTATCTTTGTCCATTCTCTTCAGCTCTGCTCCCCGTGCTCTCACAATTAAATGCCCCAGGACAAAATCTAAAATGAAAAATAACAAAATGACTCATTCATCACCAATAAAGAAATTTGGTCTTAGTTTCATTACAACCATGGGGCTAAGAAAAAACTGGGAATCAAAAGGTCTGAGGTTTGATACCTCACAAAGACAAAGGACTCTGATGTTTTTACCACACACCCATGTTAAGTTGATGGAATAAAAATTTTGGCTTTGTTCTTTCATGAGCTTAAAAGTTATTATCTTTCTTATGATATCCTGCTACATTAGCTAATGATTCATAACCAAAGATATAACCTATATATGAAAAGAGTATGTAGTTCAGGCTTTCTGAGTCTTGGTGCCATTAACTTATTGTGCTGATGTTACAAAACCTTCAGAGTTACAATAGAGACAAGATAGGTGAAACAGTACCTTTCAAAGTTTCATAAACAGCAAAATTCAAGCCTATGTAGGGAGCAATTCCCTGCAAAAATGATTGCAAAACTGTGGTATTATCAAGGAGGTAAGTTTCTAGAGAAACTGTTGTGCAGTGTCGGTGGGAGAGTATAGTGGGATAATTTAGTATTATCAACTGAGTTGATATCGCAATTTGGCCACCAAGCTGACCTTTTGAACATTAGCCCTTTGTCAGAGCCATCGATGACAAATACATAAGGTTTTGTGTTAACTTGAATGTGCCATCACCTACAATCAGTGTCACACGCAGCAAAATTTAGAAGGTCAATGGGGAAAAAAATTAAGGCAGCCAAGTCACACTGGCTGTATCATTAGTGAAAATCGATTTTGGTTTTGAGCTGATAAAGAAAAAAAGATTGACTGCATAATGGACCTTTACATCGTTAAATATGTATTCAGTGAAATTAGATATACAAGAATATGACGAGCTGACTTCACAACTGTTTCTCTACAAAATTATTACTTAGTCTTTATTACCCATATGTTATTATTTGACCAATTATCTCTAACTTCCTGCCGTGCCCGCCATTTAAAGTCTAAATAGTCTTGGCATTTGTATCTTTATTCTATAAGCAAAAGAAATTTGTGGCCAACATTGTCCTCACCCTGGAGATTATAAACTATTATCTTGCTTCACCCTAATATTGTATGCTTTTAAACTCAACTTTTAAACTCTTTCCTGTGGCCAATTTACATTTTCAATTCAGTTGATACTAAATTACTCTTAGTATTATAGGCAGTACAAGTTTGTGTGTCATAACTGAAACAAATGCATATTGTAATAGTTACAAAGCATAGTCACTGTGCAAAATCTTGGATAATTAATTTACATCGAGGTGTTTATTATACAATACCATGACTGTTGGAGGAAGTCCTTTGTAAAGACAACCACTGATAAGTCCTCCTTCATCTTTCAGAATTGTTTGAAATGCATGTAAAATATTCCTGTAAGATCATGTCATAAATAAATAGACAGAAAAATATATAAATAAATCATTGAATTCACCTTGTCTATAATCAGTATAAATGATACACCAGTTTCATCCTAAAAGTGGACTCGCATCTAATTTCTCCTTACAATATCTTCCTGAATCAAACAACATGGTCACAAGAATAAAGGAAAAGATCACCAACTACAGATGCTCTACAAGTTCTCCTTATCTACACCTTAGGAAATGTATAGGGAACAGTTTGGAGAATATGCATACTGATGTTAAGGTGTACACTATGGTTTAAGAAAGGATTTTTAATACCTGTATCTTCTCTCTGCCCCTTCACATTGTGCTGCAAGTCTTGTTCTGTGAAGAGACAGTCCATAGACTTTTTAAAAATACTAAATACTAATTGCCAATATAAAGTGAGAAATGTCGCTGAGTTGCAACCCAGGGTACAGGGTCATTGTGTTGTGTTTTGGGGCAGTTAATTTCTCTACATGGGTACCAGGCTTCCAATACTGCCAAGGAAATCTAACAAAATATTGCTCTCAAACCCTGTAATTTTCATGAGTTACTGAGACAGAATTTCTTCTAACAATATCAATACAATAACAAGCAGACAAGTGCTTAGAAAGGAGAAAAATATCAATTTGGGAAATTTTATTTCATCCAATACCAAATTATCCAAACTAACATCAAAAGAACTGTATGGCAGACAGTAAGGATGATTACTAATGACATCTGGAAGTGAAGGCATTAACTTGGGCCAAATTAGCACCTTATCCAGACAGAATTTCAATATTCCAAGTTGCTTCACAGGGATGGGTCTAGAGGAAGGTGTAGGGGTACACCTCCCCTCCTCCCTTGAGGTAATGTTCAGCTTACTGATATGACTGGTATTCTTCGAAAACAATTGTTTGCGTCACCTGTCAATTACAAAATTGACACAAAATTACAGGAAAATTCCTGGATCCACTTACAGTTTCTCCCACATACAGTTATGTAGTTTAATCATTCTTGAATGCAGGATTAATATAATCAAAGTTTGCTAAACTTGGAAGGTTATGTTACTGAATATAACAATAGAACAGGCAGTAAGTTACCTTACAAGATCAAGAGGATAAGTTGCAATAACAGATGTTGTCCCAGCCAAACCTCCAGCAACTAGTCGCCGCAAAGGAGTTTGGTTTTGAAGATCTTCTGAAACCTTCAGAAGCTGAAAATGTAACAAAATAATACTTAAAAATTGGTGCCAAGAAGACAAGCTGTTGTAAGAAAATAGGAAGTACCAAAAAGATTGAAATGTCCTATCCATGTTTTCCAAAAGATGTGAAATTATGCTTTTTAAATATCTATGCTCCCAATTTTCATATACCAGTAAATCTTTCCATTTTAATTCACTTATTGCCCTATATTTAGAGTACATAAACCTTCCAAGACATAATCAATAAATGTTCGATTACTATACCTTCTTGAATTCTTCATATGAAGCAAATTGTACAGCTGAGTACGGAATAATTCTAAGAACATTTGTTCCATTACCCTATAGAGAGAGACTGCAAATGAGTACAGTATAACTGGGAGTTTATATGACTATATAAATTTGATGATTGAGACAACTCATGATAAACTGGATTCTTATCTTTAAATAGAGATACAGTTTTTGCAAACAGATTCTGAAGAATATAATGAATTAATATCAAGAATATCACCTTCACATGACCTGTCCCTCTCTTCCTATACTCTCTCTCCTCACCCCATTCCCTGACAAAATCTTCCCTTTGTTGCTTTAAGATATATTTATTACTGGGCAAGGAGCATGAGCACCCCCTCGTAGGATGGGGTGAGGAGGGGGTAGACACATGATTTTTCCCAGAATACCATCAGCCTCTAAATTTGTTTTTTTTAAAATAGATATTGATATAAGTTTTTTTTATAGCTATTGATATAAATTATGATCACCTTAAAATAACCCTTTAACCCTTCCTCTCTTCCTATTTTGATCAAAGTTGCACCAACGCCTGAAAATTTTGGATCCTTAACTTGAATCTGAAAAGGAAATAATTCAGATAATTAGATATGAGCATACTTTTACTCTAAACTATCTCGTTGTAGTGAATTGAAGCCAACCTGTAGAAGAATTTTCACTCTTTCTAAAGGCGAAACACAAGTTCGTGACAAAGCGCCTGCAACTCCTCCAGATACGACATGTTTGACTTGTTTGCCACCGGGAAAAATTGGCTTTGCCGGCTCAACATCAACTTCTCGCTCGAGTCCTTCTTTGACTGCCAGGAATTTTGACTGCGTAAACCCATGAACATCTTTATCATGCTCCTGGGCTGAATCCTTTAGAACCATATTTTACTACGATGAATTGCATCTTAGTTCGTGGATTTTAAAATTCTAGGAAGTCTACCTTAGCCATCGTGACTGGAGGCTCGATTCGTTCTCGAATGACGAAATGGAAGTCAAAAATCTCCTTACTTTCTTTTGACCAATCAAAAAAAGTGATAATTCTGATACTTTGGGCCAATCGCAAAGGGTGATAGGAAAACTCCCGTGATGCATTGTTAGTTTCATCGCTATGGAGGTAAATTTGTGGTTGTTGTGAGGGTAGAGAGTTATCAACTTGTCGGAAAAAACAGGGGAAATCATGCCAGGTAACCTTAAAATTACAACAGTTTATAACTGTTTCATAGCAAAATATCCCTGCTACCATCTGAAGGAAGGTTTCTGCAGGAATATCTTCGATCGAGACTTGCACTTACACTGACAGTACGAGATACTTAATATTGTTGTCCTGTTTTGTTTTAATTTTCTGGCGTTTGTATTTAATAGCTGCTTCCAAGAAGACAGAGAAAAAAGGAGGGAAGGCGGATGCTGGTAAAGATCAAGTTGCACATGTTAAGCGATTGTTTGTTTGTGTGCAGATGAAGTTCTAGAAAGTCATTCACACAACAAGCATATTCCTGAACATTGTGTCATTTAAGCTGTAGACTAGAGTAATTTTTTCTGATATCTTAGTAATAGTTATCTTAAAGATATAGCTACATTAATATCTTTTATCAGTAATCTTATATTGTCTCCTGCTCAGGGTTCATATTCTTTTAATTTATTGCAATTTCTTTTCAAGAGTTTACCAATGTTTCAAATTTTCAATATAGCCATTGTTTTGCTTTTTTTCAATCTTAGGTGCAACGATACTAAGTGGTGTATACATGTTTCCCAATGGAGATAAATATGGTGAGCACCATACCTGGTTATCTCATGCTAAAGAGCTGTGGACTGTTGAGGAAGGGGTTTGAGCCCCAGACCGAGCCAAAACTTAAGGTTTCTATATTACTGGGGAGAATGTGCCTCCTTTATACTGTGACATCTGCCAATGGTTAGACAATTTTTTCTTATCAATGGATTAGGAAAATAAACCACAGACCTGGTCTCTTGCATTTTCTCTTTACTGGTCAGCAGGAGACATTAATAATAATAATAATAATAATAATTATTATAATAATAATACAAGAATTTATATAGCGCCCTTTTCCGTTAGCTCATGAGGCATGCTTTTCTCTCATAGAGAAATATAGGCCCTCATTTAAACCAGATTTAAAGTTGAACTGGACAAGCCTGTCTAAATATCAAAAATAAATAAATAAATATAAATTAAAGTAAGTTCTATGGAATAGTCAAGACTGATAATCAGATATAGGGACACAGCTTTGATCAGGAAAATATACCAAACTGAAATGGCATCTTTGTGTTATCATATTTTTTAACACTGTGTGCTCCCAGATTGCTTTGTTTACCTCAGTTACTTTCTCGCAAATGTCTCGTTACCTGTCAATATCGACACCTTTCCTTGAAACCCTAGCAGGTTTCAATTTGGCAAATAAAATTGGCTTCCTTTGTAGATGGTGAATACATCCAGGCAGATGAAGGCTTATTGCGTCAAGGTTATGGTACCCATACAACAGTTGATGGACTTAGTTACTATGGTAACTGGAGTGGGGACAAGATGAATGGACAAGGTGAGTTCTGAAGGAGTGAAGACCTGATTTTGTATTCTAAGATCATTCGTTGTTTTCTATGGTCATGTTAAACCTTTCAATCCTAAGATCTCATTTTTTATTTTATTTAGTAATTCTCCTCACTGTCTACCAAACAATCCTACGATGGTTATTTGAGAATTTGATATTAGATCAATTACTAACTTCTTAATTGACATTTTTCTTTTTTTTCATCACTTGTCCATTTGATACTGTGTTGATATTTTAAGGAAAAATTCTGCAATGGTCACTCATTGGAGTTAAAGGATAAAAGTTTTCTCAATGATGTTATTTACTGAAATAAGCAAACAAAACAAGGAAATTTGTCTGCTAATTCTTTATTCAAGATTGCTTCTCCATCTTCCTATGAACACAGAATAGACTGTTGTCTTATTTTTTAGGGAAACTTCTTCATCCATCAGGAGCCATATATGAGGTATTAAAACATCTTTGTTATTTACCATCATCATGTCTTGTTTGTTTGTTTGGTTTTTTTTTTACCACAAATGATTGGTAGCTTAGAGGTTAACTCTTTACACCCTTACATCAGTATACTTATTCCCCATACTGTTTTCTGAATATTTCCTGAGGTTCTGACAAGGAGAATTTGTTAAATAATCAAGAGCTTCTTGAATTGGTGATCATTTTGTATATTCTCATGACCTCACTGTTTGATTTAGGGTTGATATTGTAAGGAGAAATTAGAAGCCAATCACTTTAAAGGGTCAAAGGGTTAATGCCATAGCTTGTATTCAATTCTTATTGTTAAAATTCTGCAATTTATTCAAGGGTGGTGTTTATTTGACGGTGGGGTTTCTATCAAAAGAATTTTTCCAGGTTCCAGCATTAGTATTAAATATTGTGCATCATGGAAACTGGTTCAAAGCTTGAATGTTTAGCTGTGTTTTTTGTATAAATTTCCAAGTATTGTTTTGGTTACTGCCTGAGTCATGCCACACTTGATATTCTATTTTTTCATAGCCCGTGAAATGAATAAATGTTGTATTTTCCAGGTCGAGTGCAGCCTAAAGTAGAGGGTGGCATTTATAGATAGTTTTTCTCACAATTATACTGCATTATTAATTTCATTGAGAATAGTGTAAATTCAAGGCCAACATTTAATGAATACATTTCCATACACTGAGCAATAATAGAACTGTTCCAATTGGGTAAGTTTACCTGTAATGAAATGCAGGTATTATTTTGTTATATATGATGTAAATTTTCTCTCACTCACAGGGAGAGTTTGTCAACAACATGTTTCATGGATTTGGAAAGTACACTTGGCCTGATGGATCATTTTATGAGGGGAACTTTAATGAGAACAAGTAAGCCTTCCAAAAGTGATTGGGATTAGATAATTATCTGGGTGTCTCCCAAACTAAATAGGCAAACTTTGATTTTTTTTGAGTTACGGCATGAAACAATTGACACATGTAGTTGGAAGAGCCCTCAGGAAACACAAAAGCACAAATATTATACACTTAATGTATGGTTCCGAGAGAAACAGTTGGTCTTTTTTTCCAGAGAGTCTCAGAAAATATCAGGTCTCTCTGGAAAACAAAACAAACTAGTTTCCCTTGCGACCATACATTAAGTGCTTTGTTATATTTCCTTTAAACAATCATATGGCAAAAACATGCCGTTGTATTTGGCTTGTGGGCAACAACTGTGTAATTATATCCTGGTTGGATCATACATTTGAATTTTATCAGGGGCATGTGACCAAGAATCAACCAATCACAGTGCTAATTTTGTTGAGTGAAAGTCTAGGTATTTAACAATGCCATTAATTCCCTTGGAGTTTTGTGCTGATTTTTTTTTAAAATTAGTTTCTGGTTTTAAAATGTGAAAATTGGGTAATAGTAGATACATGTGTAAATTTGCCCATTACATGTTATCTGGTCAGCCAGGAGCTAAAATGTCATGGGATAGCATCTTCAGATTTCATGAACATTTTGGTACCATCACCTTAAAATTTCTGCAGACATTTTCTAATGTTGCATGTTGTTGTTTTTTCTGTTACAGACTTGAAGGTCAGGGAACATTTACAGATGTAAAATCGCAAGTGTGGTATGGAAAATTCACACACAAGGCTGCTCCTGGGCTTAAGTTTAAACTGTGCATGTAGGATATCTCACAAATTTTGACTCTGCAAGATGTAAATTTATATATATTATACCTGTACTTGACTGTAAATATTTATTCATGGCAATAAATGATGTTTGGTTTACTTTTGAAATTGACTCTGCTGTCAATTGAATGAAAAAATTTATAACATGAAGGTGTAACCGGCATGAAGCAATTCAGATTCAAATTTTCTTCTTGTTATTTAACCCCCTCTCCAACTTTCATGATTTCATCCCCAGTATTTGAAAACACGTGTTCCTGGTGGTTTGTTAATACCCGTTATATATTTACTTTGTGTAAGAAAACATTGTAATCGCCCAGACGCATGATTTAACGCAGATATTTCAATCTATAGCCAGAGGGCAGTAGCCAAACAGTTAGGATCTTCCACCGAAATACATGTAGGTGCGGTTCTTTATGGTACTGAGCATTGTCCTTATCATTACACAATTTTCTGCCATGCTCAAGCTCTTGGCCAAACATATGATAAAGAGTGATTACCACTAACACCCTTAAAAGGTTAATCGAGAGTGTAAGGGCCAGAGACTTTAAAGAGGATTTGACATTTTTCACTTTAAATTCAGATTGGAGAGTTATACCTTATCAGGCCTTGTCGCAGTCAGCCGATCTTCAGTAGTATGTCACGTAATGCTCCGTGACACCTGAGAGAACGGTTGCGAGAGAGCCATAATCTTTCTTCTTGCCCTGTCTCCTAGAACTATATGCTTTCTTGGAAATCCAATTTTTAACATTTTTTACAAAGTCTCATCGCCTCGATCCTTTTGTTTGACTACATCGGTCGGATTGGAGTGACCAAGTCCTTGATGGCGTTTTGCACCGACAGGAGACTGGACTCCAACTTTCTTTAAGAGAATATTCTTTCCTCTGCTCAAATCATCAACATTCATAGCAGTTTTCCTATCGTCGAAAAAGAAGTACTCAGCATTAATATCAATGTTGTAGAGTTTTCTGATCTCCTTTATCAGCATCATGCCGGCTATTCACATCGCTGTACATCCTCTGCCGGGAACAGTGGAAGAGCTACACGAAAGGTAGCTCAAAGCAATTTTGCGATATGCGTTTATTTCGGTGCATTTCAACGAGGGTTGTACTTGTTTGTCCGCTAATCCTCGTATAAGCGTAAGAGTAGAGTATTTTTTCGCCATTGATCCTTTTACTGTTTTAATTTTTAGGCTGAAGGAGGTTTCAGAGTCAAAGGAAAAGAGTGGTTTCTTGAGGTAACATTTTTCTTATGAAAGAACTCCCTGCATGACTAGTTTAGATGAAAATGGCGAACAAAAACGTGCTCTGTATGTTTTTTATATAAACTTAGGTTCGGTGTTGAAGTTTTTCTGTTGCACGTGGGGACTTCTTCACTTGATTTGCCTTAAAGTGGTTTCATGTGTGTTGTTAAATGTAGTCCGATTTTTTTCCTTCCGAACAGAAGTTAAAAATTATTCATGCATGCTTTCTCTTCGTTGCACATGTTTTTGGCCGTTAAAACCTCTAGACTTTGAGAAGCTTACCTTTAGTTCTCTTAATGTTTCTTTATAAAAGCTTTCTTAATTATCCTTTTCCCTTTTTGCGTCTGCAACGAGTGCAAATGTGTTAACAAGAATGAAAGATGCGAGTCCTTTAAAACGTTTTATTCGTTCTAATATCTCTACAGATGTGGCTACACAGCTAGCATACACGTGAAAGGTTTCCTATTTTTTTCAAACTGTAGCGTTTTTAGTTAAAGTACCTATAACAAGAATTTTTTTTACGTATTTCCTTAGTTTATCATAGGTACAAACCAATCTCGGTAGAAAAAAATTTAAAAAAATGTAAACTCAGTTTTTTGGGAGCTAAAGTGGTCTTATTTTGTCTTTAAGAGTGTCTCGTAGACTGGTAACGAGTTCTCAGTTGGCTCTTGTAAATCTCTCACATCTCTTGTTATTTTGTATCAGTCAGCACTGAAATGCCCTTGAAATAATGTCTGATTGCAATGCATACCTAACTTCAGCAGGCTCTACTGTGAGTTGTGATACATAGTGCTCAAGTAGTAGAGAAGATATGGAAGTTGATTATACGGTTCAACCTTACGAAGAGGAATGGCGTGTATCAGGCCAAGATTTCAACAAAGACCAACAAAAATGATTTATCAGCTGGGGTTTTTAGGTCAAGATTAGAACAAGAAAACTCCCACTACTGAATGTTTTGTTTGTTGTGTTTTGTTTTCTATGGCAAAATCTACATTAGGAATGGGTGGCTGTGTTCATTTCTGTTGCCTTAACATATTCTTCCTGTGCACTAAGAGCAGTGAAGGTTCCCCTTGGTCATTGCTCTTGAGTTTCGTTGCTGTAGAGTAATTCCCATGGCAAACAAAAAGCTTACCTGTGTTGTTTCAAGGAAACAAGCTCCCTAGATACAAAGAGTGCTGTCCAATTCAGGGAGTTTTTTAATTTGTATTTCCTGTTCATCAGTTCTCCAGTTCTTCAAGCACTTAAGGATCAAGTGATAAAAGAATGTGTGGTTGGACCAAGGCATGTTGCATTTCTTTTGGAGGTCAGTAATACAGAGTTTTCTATAAAAAAAATGATTTAGCAGGATCATGTCTACTCCAGAGGCATCAGCACCCAGTGTTTTTTCCCACCTACTTAACCCTTTCACACTAGAACTGATTAGACATAATTTCTCCCTACAATACCAGTGTAATATCAAGCAGGCAAGGTGACGAGAGTATAAAAAAAAATCAATTAGGGGATAATTAGTTGATCCAATACCAAATTCTCCAAACTAATGTCATGAGAATTATAGGGCAGACAGTAAGGGGATTTAAAAATAAGGTCCCAAGGTGAAAGGGTGGACACAAGGAAATCAATGTCAACAGAATACATCCTTGTGCCTTTAGCACCCACTTATTTCCTTCCTATTTTTTAAGGCGGTGAATGGTTTTTAACCTTGGAGTAACGTTTGATCATGAAGTCTGATTATCTGAATGAGAGCAGTCCTTAGAAGGACTTTTTGGTAAAGTGACTGATGTTCTAACACATCATGGGAAGTCATTATTAGAGTCAAGTGAAGTGCTGTTGTTTTGAGTCAGGTCAAATAAACTGATTGGTCAGTTTTGCCATGATATTACATTGGTTAGAATGAGTAGTGATAGTAATACTCAGGGTTATTTCGTGCTTCAAAAGTTGAGGTTCACTGTGGTAGCTGTGTAGGTTTTTTTTTTCTCTCATGTGAGATTTTTATCACCACGTTGTCAATTTACATGTTACATAATAATGTGAACAAGAATATACTACAGTGCTGATTAAGTACAATTTTAGTGATAAGTGTGTTCTGGTTTAGAATGGACAAGTTTGCCGTGTTCCTTTCACTCTTCATCCAGACAAGCTGGATCTGTCATCCAGAGACATAACTGTGTAAGTATTTTGACCAAGATTTTGATGCAAAATGAGAGCTAATAACTATATAAACATGTTCTTGTGTATTACAAAGTCCTCTGTAAAGTATTCATGACTGGAAACCTAAAAGGTCAAATTTCCGTGTATAACTGGACAGGTTGAAGTGATTTGTATTATTCTGTATAAGTTATTACTGTACATAATAGTTACTGTTTTTTTGGTTTTTGTCCCTATAGGGAAGAAGATAACAGCAATACTGCTGCAAGGTCTGCATCTCACATAGTTCTACATGCAGGTGTGTTTGATTCGCAATCTTTGTACTCACAATACTGGTTTATTTCAGGAAGCCCTTAGAGTGATCAGGATTAATTTTTTCCTCTAGCAATGAATGAAGTTATGAGAATCATGACTAAAGATAAAACTGCTATGATCTCTAACAAATCCTGACAACAGCTGTTTTAAGGAATTATGAGGAGAGTGGTTGGGAAGATTTTCACTTGTTAACTTTTGCATTTGCATTTTGCATGTACACCTCAAAGAGCAATAGAAACAGTTAAAATAGCAGAAATTAATAGATAAGGAATGTGTGAGTCTGGATGTGGTGTATCATTGCATAATGGATAATTCCTTTTGTGTTGGTAGTTGGTGGTGGAAGTCGTGGTCAAGGTGAAAACTCCTGGGTTCTTTCAAACAGTGGAGAAACTCTGAGTGGTCTCACAGGACACCCAGTTATCAGGTATTGATAAATTTGTCTCTGCATAGGGCTGTCCTTCTCAAGGGCTGTAAACAAAAATACATGTACCCATTGTATCTTTTATGAGCTCCTTTGATGAAACTTACACTTCACATGTGTGTTTGAGGGGTGGAGGAGGTGGGACAAGTTATGTCTGATTGTTTTCTGGTGGTCAGTCCTTTTAAAAAGGGTTTGGTACTTTCTAGGTTTTATTAAATGGTTGGCTTAAGGGAGGAAACCTTCTCTATAACCTTTATAAATGATTACTGTTCCAAACTATGTCTGCAACATACAAAGTTTAATTTGCCAATATGTCGTGTGATTTGTTTTTCAGTCGTTGGGGTTCAGCTCCATCAGCCATGTCATTAAGGACATCTGCTCGTGCACCAGTGCGTGGGCGTGGCCGTGTAGTACGAAGGGGTGCAAGAGGGGGAGCATCTGGGTGGGCAATAGGCTCTCGTGCTGTGCCACCAACAGCTGTTCCAGAAGAACTTGTTAATCAGGTGAGTCACTTGTCTCTTCCTTGTTTGTGGTTCATTTTTTTAATCACCATGTAGAAGCCGCTGTAATGTCGTCTCGGAAGTTGTGATCTTAGAGCAATTTCAAGTTTTAACTTAAAGGTAAACAGACTAAATTTGCATTTCCTTTTGCAGAAAAGCAGAAATGAGACTAAGGAAATTGTTTCTCACCTTTAATATTTTATTTATCAAAGGAACATAGTTGCCAAAGTGGTAACTAAACTAGAATTTTTAGTTGCCAAGTTAAAAGTTTTAGTTGCATTGGCGACCGTATCGGTCGCAATTTCGAGCCCTGTATTGAATGTATTGTTGTGGTTTGTTCTTCAGGCTCAAGTTGTGCTTCAAGGGAAATCAAGGGCTGCCATCATCAGAGAGCTTCAGAGAACAGTTAGTTTCCTCTGTCATATTTATATATTGCACTCCCAGAGTTCTCAATATTGTTTGCAGATTGTTTTTGATACATGCGATGGACTTAGCTGTAAAAAAGGGACAGTTCATAGTAATAAGAGTCAAATAGACTGACAGTAAACTGGAAGTTGCCTGTTGTTCAGGTGCGATAAATAAATAGCCTTGCAGTAAAGGGTTCAGTTTTGATTCCATTAGGAGGGAGGGAGGGAGGGGGAAATTAATCATGTTTATTTGTGTCATATGCAGTGTTTTTCACATTCCTTTCTCTCTATGTAATTTACAATGGGCTATTTGAATTTATATTTCAGAATCTTGATGTGAATTTGGCAGTGAACAATCTTCTCAGCAGAGACGAAGATGATGGGGATGATGATGATAACCCAGAGTACCTTCCTGGAGGTGAGATTTTCACTGAAAGCTTTTCCAACGATGCATTTTCTCTGTCTGCAAAGCACTAAGAACTATTCGTTACTTTTTCTCCCAGATGACCTTATGTCCCTACTAGATGCTGGTGTACATGTGGATGATCCATCTTTTGTTGTGGATCCAGAGGCAATATTTTCAGAGGACATGTTTTATAGTTCACAGTATGGAACAATTCATCGACGTCCTAACAGTAGTGCCAGGGCTTCAAGAACTGCAACAGAGAGAGAATCAGAACGTGACAGGGAAAGAAGTAGGGAAAGGGAGGCACTGAGGAGAGAGAGGGACCGATGGCTTGGGAACATCCATGGAGGGGCTCTTGACTGTGGGACATCAGGCAGTGCCCCCAAACAACCACCTCAGGACAAGGTACCTTCTCAGAGTTTCTCTGCTGATCCTGTGAGTGTGGCAGATCTACTTCAATGGTGGCAAACAGGCACGGTAAGAAACTAAAAATCTCATTTAATCATTAATTGAGACAAAATGTTTTTGCCTGGCAGCTGCTCATTGAAGGGGTAGCTATAACTTCATTCAAAAGAAACCAGGACAAGCTGTGACTGCAATAGACCATTGTGCATGGTAGAATTTCCTTCATTAAATATTTCCTTTATTCCTGCAGGATGGTGTTTTCCCATGCTTTACCCACATTGCTGCCATGTATTCAGAGCTGATATGTGTAGGGGCTGATGGGAAGCTGTACCAATGGAAATGGGAAGATCCTCTTCCCTACAAAGAGCAAGATGCGGCAATATATCATCCCAGGGTCAGGTCTCTTGGTCTTGCAGATGAGAAGGTTGTGGCTGTATCTGCTTCCTCTATAAGGGCATCTGTACTCACAGAGACTGGAAAGGTATGTGCAACATACAGCACCCTGGCTGACATGGCTATGACAGAAGTTTCCTCATTGGTCCTACATGTACATGTAGCCCTCTAGATCTTGTTGCACTTGTATTAATGTTCTTAAGAAAACTTTATCACTCCCTGGGAGAAGTGGTTGCCAAATGATTATTGTGCCAAGTTCCAAAGCTATAGACCTTTAACTGGTATATCTATGTTCTGTTCTTGGATAAGGCACTTCACTCTTACAGGGCCTCTCTTTACCCAAGAGTACTATAAGTGGATATGGGTGAATGATTGGTGAAAATTGAGAAAACACTTAAGTAACCTTGGATGAGAGGATTAGCAATACCTTTGCTGATGACATTGGGTATGAAATAATCAAATAGTTATTTGTATTTGATGATATTTCCCTGTAGGTAGCTACATGGGTTGATGAAACTCTTAGCTCTATTGCCAGTAAACTGGAGCATGCCACCCAAGGATTCTCAGAGTTCTCTGGAGACAAAGTTGTAGCAATTCACACATGCTCACTGTACACTTGTGCCCAAATGTCATCTGGAGCCTTGTACTGGTGGTAAGTATCTGCTTCTTCTTTAAAATAATCAATTGAAAATCACGTTAGCTAATGGCAATTTGTTTGATGATCAATACATATCATTTCCACAGGGGTGTACTGCCGTTTGAGCAGAGAAAGAAACTGTTGGAAAAAGCTCGTGCCAGGGCAAGAAGAAATCGCACAACCTTTACTAGCTGCATCGTGCGTGGTGTTCAGGTAATGTAATCCCTAGTGCAACCACTCATGCAATATGTGTTTGCACATTACACACTTGGCAACTAAACCATTAATCTCCCGTTAGTGAAAAGACAGGGAGAAAATTTAGTGTTCGCTAAAGTGAATGTCCATGTGTATGTCTTTATTGTGTGTTATAATGTACATGAAAACATTACGTGTTTCTGATCATCTGAAAACGAGTGCAAATTACAAATAGCGCGCGCAAGCTTTCAAAATTTCATTTATCTTGACTTTCTGAGATGGTTTTTCATGTACATTGTTAAGGTAATAACATGATTTCTCGTGCAATTTGGTGTGATAACTACTTGTAAATCTTTCAAAGTCTACAAATTGCATTAGCCCCTCGGGCTCGTGCAATTTTGTTGCCTTTGAAAAATTTACTTGTGCTGATCAACGCCAAATTGCACTCGAAATCATGTTATTACCTATACAAAGTTGATCATACAAGGTAATTTCCATTGTTATTTCTGATCATCAGGTCTGTTTGCGTAGCTGTCCTCTGTATCATCCTGGCTCTATTGGTATCAACATCTCCTCTGGCATTCCACGCATGGGACAGTTGTTAGAATCAGCTTGGAATTTGGATGAGAAGTGCCGTTTTAAAGTCCTTCCACTGGGAAATGAGGAAGCCAGCTGTAGTCCACCAGTTATCGATGAACAAGATAGTGATGTTCCTGGCTCTCTTGGCTTGAGTGAGTTGCTTGTCACAACATTTTCAGAACATGCATGGAATTTTATGCTTTCAATTTTTGGCGACTTTGAAATTCTTGTAACTACGGTAAAATGCAAGTCGTACCTTGGAATGCAAGTACATTATTTTTTACTTCATTATCATTCCAATTTTAATTTCAGAGCGGAAAAAGGATCCATCATTAGATTCCGCTGAGGATAAATCAGTTCAGGACTGGGATTTGAAGGATGTTATATTTGTAGAAGATAAGCGGAACATACCTGTTGGAAAAGTGCTCAAGGTGAAAACATACAGAATATTTTTATGAATATATCTTGCTCAATAGATCATTCATATAAAAATGCTGACTCAAAAAAGCATAGCACATATGCCATGAATCTTTACACACCAAACATTGTGTATTTAATGGTTTTGTTGCGTTCTAATTTGTTAGGTTGATGGACCGTACGCCGCAGTTAAATTCCCACCCAAAGACACTTCCCTTCATGCTGCTGCTTTGTTAAATGAAGAAAATAGTTCTCTTTTACAAGATGTGCGGCTTCTGCGCAAGGACGAGCTTCAGGTATGCTACATCTTGTAATGATAAATAGATTTAAAAAGATGGTAAGTTTTGAGCTTGGTAAAGAAATAGAGAAATATGTCTTTTGTCTTGTCACAAGCGTGGGACAAAGAACAAATTCTGAGTCCCCATGAGGAATCGAACTTCAGACCGTTGAATTCCGCTCTCTGATGCTCTATCACTGAGCCACAAAGACTCTACGGCGAGCGAGGCCCATCACGAACTTCATATATGACACGCGGCCTGTATACTGCTAGGATCAGCGATGTCCATAGCGCTATCGACATCGCTGGAAGCAAGGACGCATATGGATCTCCCTTTATAGTTTGAACATATGATGTTGGGTCTAAAAAACTTTGTTTGCTTTATTAAAGCTGGTCAAGTCATCTGCTGCCAATAAGATTCCTGATTGTATTCAGCGGACACCAAAGTTGCTCTCCGTTCCATTGGGCACCAGACCTCTTGCGGTAACTGTCAACTGTAAAGGTACTTTCAGTTTTCAAGCATATGTTTACTATGACATGTCTAGCTCGCATTGGTTAGTTTTACTTAGTGTACTACATTCTTCCATGGCAGGAGTTCATGTGATGTTGAAGACGTCAACTGGCGTTCGCTATGCTCTCTACAGCTTAGCATCTTCCAAACCCGAACCCGGAGGAACGATGCCAAAAGACTGCGCAGCCTTCCTTAGTCAGCCTGGAGTGAAAGATATTCAGCTATACCCAACAGGAGATGTAAGGAATAAGTATTGTTTTCATAAACAAAGACACACGCACAGGGTTGTAGACAAGGGACAGAAAGTACCAGTCTTCTTAACAATATGCAGCTGAAAGGACAAAAAATTGAAAAACATTACATTTGGTAGCTAAAATTGCTTTAAAACTCTTCATCGTAAATTTTTATTGTTTGTTACTTTCCAGGATTCTCTAATAATGATGACAGACACAAACGGAGCATTGTTCCCTCTTTCAAAGAACTTTCTCGGAACTGTCAAAGATCCAGCTTGGACTGTAAGGATTCATAATTCACTTTTTTTTTGCTTAAATGTTCTCATCGCTTGAGCTTTAGGGTGCTAAAAAATTGTCTGTTCGACAAATTGCAAACGACGTAAACGTCATTCTTTAAGTCTCTATTAGGTTAACTGTGCAGGATGCAGATAATGCAGTTTTTATTTTACCAAGATATGGAAATTGTTTCAACTGGGAATGACTTATTCGATGTGTTATTGTCTCTTTTCATTTTAGGATCTTCCACCTTTGCAAAGTCTTGGTGTGGGTGTCACTTCTCTCAGACCAGGAACTGAGTGCAAAACCCGAGCCTTGGTGGTAGTGTTGGCTGTACAAGTAAGTTACATATACCTGTACACATTGACATGACTTTTGTTTCACCTCGTTCACCACTGGTGTGACTTCTCACCATTGGCTATTCATTAAATGTCTTCTTTGTAGTCTGGCATATGTTCTCATCGCATCATCTTGTTTTGTCATTTTTCTCCTTTTATTTACGTATACATTGATGATCGTTGATTTGCAGAACCAGCAGCTAATGACTCACATTTTGAAGTGTGACTTTGAAGCTATTAAACAGTTTCTTGATTCCATGGAGGCAGATCCTGGTAAGTCAGCATAAGCTGATGTATAATGTTGATTTTAAGACTGCTGTAAAAATACAGGCAAGGCATGAAACGGGTTTGGACAATTACCCATAAACCTGCGTTGCTAATTGTTTTTAATCGCCGGCAAAGGTGCGTAAATATGTACTTTTGGGATACGCGCTTACTGCCTGCTTGAGCAGACAATTAGACACCGTATTAACTTCACTCTTACCTCTCGCGGAACCAGCCATACATTAACAGACCATGTTCTTGTTACTTGAGAGCTCTTATCAAAACTTTTACCTTCTTGAATGTGAGTCGTAGGGAACGCTTCTCTAGATGCTCTTCGCAATTTTCAGATTTACACTTTTGGTTTTTAACTGCTTCCCTCGTTTCCAAAGATTAAAATGTACTTTTCTCCTTGATGTTTGACTGTACTGTGTGTACAGTCAACATGGGTAGCCTTCTAGAAGCAGTTTTACTGGAACGATGTGATGGCAATAGAAACATTCTCCACGCCTGCGTCTCCAGAAGCTTCCCAACATCTGCCCACGAGCCAGGGGAAGCAGTTGAATCTCAGGGTAGCAGTGTGTCTACGGCTACAGGTGCCCTTGGTAACAAGTTAGAGTCAATTAAGGGTGCAGTAGATGCTCTCGCCGCTGCCGTGGCAGCCGCTGCAGCAGCTGTTCGCTCAAGTGGTGAGTTAAGGACACTTATCTTTCAACTAGCTTCCTTTAAATATCGTTTGCGCTGGGCAAAACAACACTCAAGTTTAAAAAGGCCTCTAAATATTAGTATTGATTGGTTAATCATAAATCAAGAAGGAGCCAAAATGGTTAAGGATGGAGTAGATTAAAACAGATTGGAATTGACAAACTTGTGTCAAATTTTTGCCAACATTTTCGTCATAAAAGAGACCCAAAAAATGTATGTTCAATAAGATAGAAAGACATAAGAGAGGTGACTTTAAACCAAGATGGAACAGGAATGCTTAACGGTGAAGAGTATCAAAACAGAGTGGAGTTGAAAAATTCATGTCAAATTTTTAGCAGTGCTAAATTATTTTCAGCTAGAAGGAAACCGCAAAATATTAGTGTGGTAAAATAGACAGAAAGTAAAAAGCCAATAATAAACCAATGGGTAACAGGACCGGCTAAGGATGGAAAAGGTTCAAACGGATTACGAAAAGCTTTCAGTCTCTTATGTGTTGGTTTAACATATGCTGCAACCGGCAATTTTCTCATGGCTTGTACCATACAATTACAACGGAGCCTGCAAAATTTGTACACGTGTTAAATGTGTAACATGCTCAATCAAGGTTGTCGTTGCTTCTTTCTCAGATGGTGGTTCCGGCAATTCACCTGCCACTAATAATACAGGCTCTGTGAGCAACAGTGGCGGGAATGGGGGTGGTAACAGTGGGCAAGGAAGCAGTGCAGGGTCGTCAAGACTGGGTATGCATGAGATGATGCAGAGAGCTGTGACTGCGGCCAGATCGGCGACATCCTCCCTGGCAGGACTTGATGTGGAAGAAGATGCCCCAATACCTACCTTGCACTGGCCACCAGACCCTCCAGGTTACCACTTTCACTTCCAAGCGCATTAGTTATAGTAACAAGTATCAGTTAAAAACGTAGTGGGTACTCAGTGTTACCTAGAAGCACTGGCTACTCGTTTCCGAAGCGCCGGCTACTTCAGAAGCATTATGTTTTTTATCTTCCATCTGAATTCAATTTAGACCTTTGCTAAGGAGTGTTTTTGTTTCGACTACCTTCTAAAAGATTCTCTTGAGAACACTAAGTACCAGAACGGCAACAGTTTGACCAAAAGTCCAATACTATTTTACTCAGTTGTGGTGTCCAGAAACCAAGTTTGCCAAATCATTGTTTTCAAATCTTGATACTTTCTCGTTTGAGTTTTTGGCCAGTCGTTAATTCTAGTCGTTTTCGCTCAGTCGTCAGTCAAGATTTTAGTTTTAACTTTAATGTAGTTTGAAAACAGGATTAAATATGTTTTGGTTTTTTACCACATTTGAGACCATTCCTTTGACTGGATTTGATAATAGTGACGGCGAAAATTATTCACAGTCTAGTCGTAATCCTTAAACTCTCAAGATCCAACAAGTAATTCTTCCATTTGACTGCCATACATTACCTTGACATCAAACGAGAGAATTTGGTGTTATATCAACATAAACCTTTTCGTGCTGATAAGTTTCTGTGTTGTCTGATTACGTATTGGAATCGTAGGGAGAAATTACATGCTAATCCTTCCTCAACTTTCATTGTTTAGATTCGCGAGATGACGATGCAGGTCCGCCATTAACTCCGGCTCCGTCAGGGACAATTCCTTCACCAGCGCCATCCACAGCAGCTGCTGCAGTAGGAGGAACCGGAGCAGCGGCAGCAGGCTCCAGCAAGTCTTCTGAACCATTGTCGACACAGACTAAAGCTCTGAAGTGTCTGAATCTGTTGTGTAATAGCGCTGTATTAGCGCCATTCCTGTTGCAACTCATGACAGCCAAGTAAGGAGGGATAATTCATTAACATCTCGTTCAATTTCTTACATTAAAACATGAAATTTCGATTACCAAATTTTTTAAAAGAAGAACTTTTAATCTTGTATTAAACACTTGTAGTGATTTTGGGGTTAATCCATTACAAGTAGACGAGTGTATGAAGTAATAGGAAGGAAATTGATAAAATTACTTAGTGTGGAAAGTTTATCTCGGAACAACTGAGAAACAAAGAATTTGAGCATCAGAATGAAGGAGTTGGACCCAGGACTACAACGCTTAAAACTACTAGACTAAGTCGTCTCCTTAAAACAAATGCATTTGAAATTAAACATATTTAAGTTATAAAGAGAGGAGAAGCAGTCAGCTGGAAATAAGAGAGAGCCTGTTTAGACAAGTATAAATTCCCCCTGGTTTCATTATTTGATTTCTGTTAGCTGTTACTCTTTTGTTCTTGCTATTTACTACATCTTCTCTATTCTTCAGGGATACAGATGGCTGCACCCCATTCATGGCTGCCGTTCGCGGCCGGTCCTACTATCCTGCCCTCAATCTGTTTGCCACTGCCAAGTACCTGGCGACTGGCCCAGACGGACAGATTGACAGAAGTGTCCTGATGTCCATGCTGTGTCCATCAGACAGTCACCCAGACGCCTCTCCTTTGCATGTTCTCTGCTGTAATGATACTTGTTCGTTCACTTGGACCGGCACCGAGCACATAAATCAAGACATCTTTGAATGCCGCACTTGTGGTTTGACTGGTTCTCTCTGTTGTTGTACTGAGTGTGCGCGAGTTTGCCACAGAGGACATGATTGCAAGTAAGACTAGCAGCTGTGCCAGGTCTTTCAGTGAATGTACTTTAAAATGATATTTTTAAACTAAACACACTGTTTTTTGTTATGTAATCAGGTTGAAAAGAACGGCACCCACTGCTTACTGTGACTGCTGGGAAAAGTGCAAGTGCCGTGCCTTGGTACCAGGCTCCCAGGCTGCTCGCACCCAGCTCCTTAAAAAACTTGTTTCAGAGACTGACCTAGTAAGCCGACCAAATGGAAGGTTAGTCGACTTAGCTGCCCTAATTCCTCGACATGGAACACAAAAGAAAGAAAATAGGAACTGTTGAATGTAGTCGTGAAAATTTTTTTTTGAATAACAATGCAAAAGTATTACAGCCAAGGATTACGTTTGACACATATCTGACAAATCTTAAAATTGGTACTCCTGATTTTTAGTCTAAATACCTCACTTTGTTGAAGCATGGCCAGGCCTTAAATGTTTTCCTTTTATTAACTGATATCACTCTTAAAGCTTTAACTATAGAACACAGTGTTTTAAAGCACCTTTCCATTCGTTCTGCAGAGGAGAGCATTTGCTGTTATTTTTGGCTCAAACAGTGGCTCGACAAACTGTGGAGCAGCGACAGTTCCGACCTCATCGTACCACAACAGATACACGTCCTAAAGCAAAGACCAAGACGCTTGGTGCAAGTGGAACGCCCTTGCCTCTCCCTGAACACGACTTGGATCCTCCAAGGTTCGCGCGTAAGGCACTAGAGTTTATTCTACAGGACTGGAGAGCTGTGAGTGCAATGTTGAGAGATGGTTGTCGTACGCCAGGAGATGCCAGGTAAACTTGGAACAGTTTTTACATCTTTTGTTGTCATACCAAATCGATCTTTCCCTCCTAAATGTTTACATTAGAAATCTGAAAAAAATGAAACATGCAATACTGCGTGCGCAGGGAGTATGTAACTTCTCCTTACAATATCCATACATTATCCAGCAAACAGGTAATGAAAACACTCAAACTGTAAAGGTAGAAGTTGTTATCTTGATTTAACACCAAATTCTCGTTACTAATGTACAAGGAGATGTATAGCAGCGAGAGGGAGAATTGACAATCAGATCTTGGGAGTTAAAGGGATAAGGGAGAATATCTTTTCAACGAAATTAAAAATGGTATTACTCTCGGTAAGTTACATGGCCACAAGATTAAACTACTTACCATTTTTAGACCGCATGCGCACGAGAGCAGTGGTTTGCCCGACGCTGGTGCAAGTCAACTGATTCCTCTAACTGAACAAGAAGATCGTCTTCAGAGTCAGCCCGGTACAGTCCGGCTGGATGCATTTACACACTGTCTTGTAGCCAAGTGCGGCCCAGAGGTAACGTGTGACTTCTACATTTCTATCAATAGAGCATGGCTCATGATATCTCATTCTACCAAGCTATGATTGTCAAATTCAGTCATGTAACGTGGCTGAGTCTATTAATTGTTGTCCATTTTTCTGTTAACATTTTAGATCCTTGACCCTCTTCTAGTTACTCTGGTCAATGCGATTGAAAACTCAACCGATCCTCACAAATCTGATGAACTGAGCCTGGCTCAGCGCTTTATCAGATCTGTAGCCAGAGTGTTTGTTGTCCTGTCATCGCAAATGGCTCCTGCTAATGGCAAACGCAAAGTGTAAGTGTTTTTGTCCATAAGTTGTTATTTGCTTGACCATGAAAGTTTGGTTTTCTCTAATTCTCTAATACATTCTGTATTGTCGCCGTAAAGCGTCCATTTCCGAGGACCCATTCACTTTCTTCGTACAATTATGTTCATACATTATCCAGAAAAAAGGTTATGCACGCGTGTTAGTGTTCATCTCTCAAACTGAACAAGCTCAGGACTCAGTAGTGCTAATATATTTGGTTTTGTTTCCATTTCCTGTTTGAAACAGAGGTGTCGCGCAACCGTTGATCAAGTGTCAGCGCATTTTCCAGTGTCTTTCCACCATTGCCATTCCGGAACTTGTCCAAGTAGCCGATGCAATCTTAGCTCCAGTTCGGCTTGGCATCTGTCGCCCAGCGCAACCATTCAGTCTGTTGTCTTCTACACTAGAAGCTACTCAAGCCAGTGAGGATTTATTCACTGTGGAACCATTACCAATGAGACCCTCCACGCCTTCGGTGGAGGAAGCCGCCACTCAGGAGAGACCCAGTATTCATCGTGTGCGAACTCAGAGGCACAGGAGGAGGCAGACTGTTACTATTCCTCGTGTGCAGGAACAGAGTGCTGTGCCTGTGGAAGGACCAGCTGTTGATGGAGAAGAAGTAGAGGTAACAGTGTCATGTGTCACTCTGTTGTTAAATAGTGAGGAGATAATGGATAGCTTTGTCAACGCTCCAAGTAATGCATATGTATTTATTTCAAGAAATTTTTTATGTTTTTATTGTCAGGTTGTTGAAGGAGGAGAGATGGAAACAGAGAGCCACGAAGAAGTAGGAGATGAAGAAATTGAAAGCGGAGCAGCTGGGAATGAATCTGATATGGATTTGGATTTACTTGCCGAGAGCGAGAGTGACAGTGAAGAGAGTCAGGTACAACTTGCTCCTCCAGACACGTACATGTACTAGTGTAAGCCTCATGTGACCATCAGCCAGCCGTGTTGAATTGTGTCCGATCTTAGTTGTCGGTTACGCCCGAGTGTAAAGGAGTCTGTCCAGTTTTCGACGGTTCAGTCCGATTGTGGACGGTTTCGTCCGATTTCAGGGATATTTGCCCGACTTAATACGCCTCCATCCGCTTCTCGATGGATCCGTTCAGTCGTGGACGGGTTCGTTCAAATTTTTGGCGGTTCCGTCCGATTCTGCAAGGGTTCGTCCGATTTAGTTTGTTCCCAGCGTCCAGTTTCAGATGGTACATTTAATAAGAGGGGTATTACGGACTCTTTTCCAAATTTAGATTCACGCCAGTAATCCTTTGTTTTTCTGTCTGTTTGTTACCAGGTCGGTGAAGTGAACGTTGTTGAGAGTGTCCGCCGCAGTCGTGTCACAGGCTCACTAGTTGGTTCAGATGGTAGCGCCAGCATGCATGGTGAACATGTAGAGTTGTACTCTGAAGAGGAATCATCTACAGGAGAAGAGGAGGAAGAAGAAGAGGAAGAAGAAGAGGTGGTGGTGGAAACGTATGATATACCTGAGAGTATCGAGAACAGACCACCTACTGGAGGTAAAGTATCTACGCTCCATGCTAGACATAAAGAAGCGACGCTACAGTACGCAGTGCCTTGGAAAGGTCTCTTCCCACGAGGGAGGAAAAAAAGTGAAAGCGAAATTTTAAGAAAATTTTCTGAAATTACACTTTTGATATAGGTGTCGCCATTCCTATAGCCATGATGTTTTTTTATTCCGTCTTTCAGGAGTTGACCCCAACGCTACCCCTCATGCCATGCAATGGGCAATACGAGCCAACAATTCCCAGTCGAGAGCAGCAGGTAATAGTGCAGCCACTCCGCAGCCCACCAGCGGTACAGGGTTTATCTACGTTGATTCCAGCTCACTCAGACGAAGTGGTGGCAACGCCGCAGCTGCTAGTACTGCAGCCTCTAGTGAAGTAACTGGGACCAGTGGTGCACTTAGTATGAGTAACTCTGCCAGTGCACTGGCGCGGGCCTTTGGTATTGTTGTCCGGGAGGTAAGTGGATTGGGCCGATTCGTTTTCAACGAGGTACACGCTTGGTTTAGATTTTACTGTCATGGGAGTGTGTTGCTTCTGTGTATTACAGTGTGTGTTAATCAAGTGTTGTTAAACCAAAACCAGAGTAATCTCACCGGCTAATCAGAATGAAGACAATTGCTCAAGCAGCCAGTGGAGGCTCAAGGGAAATATAAGAAAACATTCTGAAGCGCGGGAAAACGCCTATAATCAGGCCGCCATTTTGTTTAGTTTCGTTTTTGGTTGATCGTGCGGTCACTGGTGTCTTGTAAACCAAACAGAGGGCGCAGTATGGCCAATTCTATGCAATCTTTGATTCCCGTCGGCACTCCATTAAAAATTGCGCCATAAACAGAGGTATCTTTTACTTTACGAGGTATATCCCGGTGTTTGTGGCAGGTAACGGAATGAAATCAATTCTTTTATTCTTGTGAAAAAGCTAACAATCCTTTGTGCTCTACTGTTTCTCAGGTCACCGACCTGCTCAACATCGCTCAGGACCCGTCTGCCCTCCCTGCAGACAGCCTAACACCTACCCCATCGGCCTTAGCAGAGATTAATGTACTGGCAGACCAGCAGCTTCAAGCGGCTTGGAACTGGCTGGCAGTGGTGTTGGATTGCACTGAAGCTCAGCTTAGGTTTGGGTTGTCTCTGTCAGCAGCTACCGACCCCTCCCACCCCTCCCATCCGCTTCACGAGTTTCATCCTAAAGCCAACAAAGACAGGAGAACACGGGAAGACCCAACGCTTCTGAGAGCTTTGGAGAACAAAAGGAAAAGATCTGTGGTCAGACGGTAAGTGATTTTAGACAGTACATTGCGTTAGTTTGGAGTGACATAACGAGACTTAAGCTCCTTAGTAAAGAAAACTAAGGTTTGAAAGAACTGACTCAACGCCTAATATCTTAGCACGAAATTTGTAATAACCAACGACAATTCTAATTCCTAACCAGAAGAGGGGTAAGGAAGTTGTCATCACCGACAGCAACTGACGTACCGGGTGGCAGAAGGGAAGATTTGTTTTAGTGCTGAGGGGAAGAGTTTTATAATCCCACGGCTGGTTGGACATTCAAAACGGGCTCTTTCGCGCAGTTTTCTTTGGAATAGTTATGGAATACGTGCGATAGCGGCATTTGACATAAAACAGCTTTTGGTGCCTTTAGCCGCTTCCAGTTATTTTGTATTTATTTTTGTCAATGTTCTTTTTCATCTTTTGAAACAGTAAACATGGAGCGACCAGTAGTAACCTGGACACTGGTCGACAAGACTTCTTGGTGTACGTTCTTTCCCTTTTGAGAGGCCATTCAAACGAGCACGGAGACTCCCTACCCAAACTGGATGTGTCCTCCTTGCGCCATGTTGCCTATGTTCTGGACGCTCTAGTTTACTACATACGTAATAACCCAAACGCCAGTTCTCAGGCGAACCGATCCAGTGCAGAGAAGACTGTTACCACTGACACACCCAACGATGAAGAAGGTGGTGATGATGTCGATGATGAAGATAGTGCGAGTTTTAAGAGGGACGCCGATGAATATGAAGATGATACAGATCATGTTGAGGATGAACCTATGCCCACTCCTACCTTACCTGGAAATTTGCACAGGTTTGTTGGTGTACATTAGCGAGGTGCATCTGGTTTTTGAGACGATGGCATCATTCTTTGTTCCAAAATTGAATCATTTGAGGGCTTCAAATCTTAATTTTTCCCGCCTTTACGAATAAGTGAAACACAGATGACTTGAAACAAAAACCTTCAACAAAGATGCGTTGTATCTAAAGCGACGTCTTGGAAAAAGCACATAGTTGAATTGGAGTTTGGGGGAGGAATTGAGTTGGGGCGGTTCTTAACTCTTTCAACTTATCTACCAAGTTGTCTGCATGTAGGTGTAAGTTCATGCTCAGTGCACAAAATGTTGTGATTTCAGCTTCTTTGTGCGAACTGACTCCACCACCGTACTAGGCTGCACCCCTCCGGACCCGTACCAGGCTCCTGTAGAGGAAGCCTTACCTCTTGCCTCTCAGCCACACCTTTTGCACCCCACAGCACGCAGAGAGCAGATGTTTGGTACTATACAAGAGCATTCAGACAGTGGCCGCGGCGGTGCACCTATGGTCAGCAGCATGGCTTTGTCGAGGGAAGGTTCTGAATCAGTGGTCTTTACTACAAGACCAACCAGCGGTGCCGCCACGGGACAGCTCTGGTCTGCAATGGACGTGAACAGTAAGGCCTT